ACCTCCATGGTTCATTTTATCAGATATTTGTTGGGTGAATGGCATTAATTTTTCCTGGTGGAGAAAATGGCTGCTATCCTGTAGAAAGTGATGGGGGAAAAATTGCCCTGGAACAAAAGTGTGCTGCTGTTTAACACAAATCTTTCTAACGCAAGTCTTGTTTCATATCCTAATGAACCTGCTTTTCACTCCTTCTCCGTAAACACAAAAAAAAAAATACAAACACAAATAAAAATCAGTACCAATATCTATGCATTGTTTTTATTATATCCCCACTGCAGCTTTTTTAATATATATATATTAGAAGGGGCATGTAGTAGAACTGTGGGTCAGCAAATGTTCCTTCCCATAGTATATTGCCACATATGGACTCTTCATTTTCCAGCAGTCCTGTGTTTGGGATAGAGCTCAGGAAGCAAATGCAGGATTGGGATGGGTGGCACAACTCCTAGTTTATAGCAGGGGTGGAGAATCCATGGCCCTCAAGATGCTGTTGGATGGCTACAGTCAGCACGGGCATTAAGGAAGCATGTCTGGATTTGTGAGGAATTAAAAGGGGGTCATTAGGGTTATAGCCTGACAACATCTGGAAGTCCACATGTTTTCTGCGAGTTTAAAAACCAGGTTTGAAGAAAGTTAGAAAGTTTGATCCAATATAGATTTGCTTTGGACTGGAGTGCAGGTACCTAATCTATTAATTGTCAGTATCAGAGCAGATTGATGAGATCACATATGACACTTATAAAAACATTTAACTTTTCCCCCTTTAGTTTATATGTATCTTCCTCCTTATAAATCACTTCTTTGCATTTTAAGTCACTCTTGGCTGTGTTATTGCTTTAGGAGTATTGAAACCGGGGGGGAGGGGGGGGGAGGAAATTGCAGGAAGAATTTGCGAGAAGTTTGCTTCCAATAGTATAGACATGGCAAACGTCTCTGTGTCTGTTTCTGTCTTTCACTGAATACTGCGGGTAAAGCTCAGAGAGAAATATCTCTCTTCCATGCCCTGAAATTGACAACTCCAGATTGGTTCCTTAGAATTCACTAACTTTTTGAAAAAGGGCACTTGTAAAATCATAAAAATGGAACAATTTAAATAAATCATAGCTTCTCATAGAAAAACATCAAAATTAAAAACTTCCTCTCCATCTGCATTGTGCCCGTATGATGTAAAGTGTGTGTTATGGTTTCCAGGGTAACAACTGGAATCAGATAATATGTTGAAGAGAGTCAAACTATTAACAGAATCACACATTAGACCTCCCGTAGCAGAGGTCAAGATTATATTAATGCATTTGTCTCCCTTTCCTTCTTAGTTAGTGCTCCACTGCTACTTAGATTTCTTATTTCTTCTAGTCTATAAATGCAAGTCTATAGTCTATTTCTTCTAGTCTATAAATGCAAGCTTTTTTGCAAGCTTGCAAAAAATCAAGGGAAATAGTTACACTAATATAATGCGTCATATATGTGTTGGGCACGTATAATTTTATCGGTCAGGAGACTTCATAAAGTATAATGTATCAAACTTTAAAATTTGCAGAGATGTCCCTTTCCCATGCTTTGAGAAACACATTCTTGTTGAGAGAACATTTCATTAATGACCATCCTGCATGTTAATTAGTTTGTTTGCTTTCTGCTTAAACTACTTTCCCTGTGGACTCCATGCATACAATGGAAAAGAATTCTAAATGTCTGTGATACATGAAATGGGGTAATGTGTAAAGTGTTTCCGCATCATACTTTGTGGTCCTGGAGTCACTTGATAGTGATGTTCAGATTCCACATACTCTGAGACCAGGAGTTGATCCAGCTACCGTTGCTAATTTGAGTAAGCTGAGAAGAAATGGAAGCTACTACTGTATATCTTATAAGGTAGGGAGAGGGCATTAAATTAGAGAGAGATGTGTCAAGGACATGTACAATTAACAACCACGTACGTCCATATATTGCCAAACACAAAACCAGAAATAGAGTTTTGCATTATGATAAATGTGTCTGGTTGACTGCTAGATAGACTTCTAGTCTGATCAAGCAGGATTCTTCTTACTACTCTTGAATTTCAGTAACTCTGCCAAAAGAGAGCCGTCTTCTTAGTGAGTTCAGTGTCCATTTTAACTGAAGTTGTGCAGAAGTGGTGTTCAACAGACTAAAGATTTATCGATAACTATCATTGGACCCTGTGGTATTCCTCTGCAATTGTCCATTGGCCACTATGTTTCACTATATTTGCTTTCATCAGGATATTATCACACCACCTTGGACAAATGCTTTTGCATTACCTCCTGTTTGGGTTTCTGCTGTCACCTGAATCTTTACACAGCCCAACTCAAAATGTCCTAAGTTTGAAAGGTATTGCCAAATACCACTGACTCTTAGATTAATAAGAAGGTGCCATTGTGGTACAAACTGCTGGATATCTCAGTGGTTAAGGCCTCTGGCTGTGAAGCCAGGAGTTGGGATTCGATTCCACACTGTGCCTCCTCGACAGGGGCTGGACTCGATCATCCACAGGGTCCCTTCCAGCTGTAGTTCTAAGATGATGATGATTGACTTCTAGTACCATTGATCACCGTCTGTACTGAACAAAGGCCTATCAAATGAAAGATTTTATTATTTTTAGTATCAGAATGGTATATTGTTACCATCCAGTATATAAATTATACCGTTTCTCTAGCTGCCGTAGTTATGGTTGATCATTAGTTTCTGTGTTATCTCTCCTAAATATACAAATTGCGAAGGTTGTCGTTTTTTTGTTTCTTGCAATCTTTTTATTCTGGCATTTATTAATGCTGCAGTTTTGTCTCTTAGTCCTACCACCTTCTTAGAGGTACCTGTAGGTGTTTTTAATCAAGTGGACAATGTACAGTGCTTTGGAATGCTCATTGGAATGTACAGTCCCAATGAGGTGGAAATTGTTCCACTTTAATGAGACTAGCTTTTGGTGGAACAAACATTTACTTGGAATGTGCTTCTGGAGAGGAGGCTTTTAGTGGCACAGTATCACTCAATGGAAGGGTAAATTTATGAGTAACACTTTGCAGAATGCAGGACCTGTTTCTTTTAGGATGCTGGGAATATAAAGACTTTAAAAATGTGAATGGGCATATTTTTCCCTTGGAGATCAAGCTAGTACTTATTCGAAGAAGCTGGTCTGCTTTATACAGTGAAAATGAGGTTGTATGTTACTGTTGACTGTTCACTTTGTTTTTAAAATGTAAACAGCTTTTAAAAACATGCTCTTACCTTGTGTTTTTCAGTAAAGATACTTTCATTTTCCAATATGGATAAAAAGTGAGAAAGAAGGATTGAAGATAGTGTAGGAACAAGGCATTGGAAAAAGAATAAATGAGGAAGAATGGAGGAAGATATGGAAAATGAGGGTTTTAAGATTTATGTCAGTGGGAATAAGGGAAAACTTTTTAAACTGGGACTAAGATGGTATTTAACACTGATAAAATTAAAAATTAATGCTAGTTATCTGAATGTCTGTTGGAAATGTGAGAAAGAAATTGGTACATACTTTCATATGTGGTGGGAATGTGAAAAAGTACAAAGATTTTGGGAACAAATTTTTAAAGAATTAAATGACGTGTGAAAAATATATAGAATTTAATTCTGAGATTGCTTTGTTATCAGTATTTGAGAATGTGGAATATGATAAGATGACTAAAGAACTGATAACCAATTTATTAGCGGCTAGACTGATAATAGCTGGACAATGGAAATCAAAATCTGAATTTCAAATGGATGAATTTAAAGGTTAAGAAAGGAGAGTTGAAAAAGAATAATTTTTATGAAATATGGGGCAGATTTTTGGAATATGTGTTAACAAGAGGAAAAGGGAAAGCTCCAAATCAAGAATCAATGCAGTTCTGGAGAAGAGGACAATAAAAGAAAAATAAGAATATAGATGAAGGAAGAAGAAGATTACAGCAAGAGGTCCCATCTATGGTGGTGGGGAGCATGGTTAAATTGTATTTTGGTTTGTGTATTTTATGTTTATGTTATAGTTATAAAAATAAAAATATTTTTCCAGTATTGGTATCTATGTATTTTTATGTTTTAAAACCAAGACAATTTCCCCCCAAAGGAAATAAAATCAGTTTAAAGCAAAACGTCCTTTGGGGCAGTTGAAGCAATGTCTTCCTTGAGCAAAGAAATTCAGCCCATAGATCACCAACCAATCCTCAACACATGGACCCATTGACACAGCTTTCTTGTACCTTAATTTTCAGCCTTTTGATATCACTGGGATACTCTTCTAACAGGCTGGCTTAGGCTTCAAGTTCCCTTGCAGTGTCCTTGCTTTCGACCAACACATCCAAACCTTCAGACATGTGATCCAACAGATCATAGTGGTAGACAGTAGCAAGAAAGTCTCTTACCTCTTTATGATCCATCGCTGATGGGTAGTCATCTTCAAAGCATACTGCAAGGATAGTTTCTGAAAATAATGTTAGTTTGGAGGTCATCTTCATTAATGCTTAACACTGGGGACATTTGTCTGATTTATTTGGAGTTTTAAAATGATCTAGAAGAGCAAACCTACTGCTAGAAGCGTATAGAATTTCATTATGGCTATGAAGTCAATGGATGGCTGAAATGTACTTGCAGTTAAAATGATGGTGAATTGGGTTTTTTGCCCCATTTTGGATGGGCAGCTTTTTAAAAAGGTTACTATTAAGAACATAAGAAGAGGTCTTATGAGACAAAGCAAAGAGTGGCTTGGTTTGGAATTCTGCTCCCCCACTTGGCAGCCTGATGTGTATAGGTCTGGAAATCACAAGCACTACAGCATCCTCTCTCTTTTCCATGACAAGTATTATACAAAGACATGCAGCCTTTGCGACTGAAGAGGACATAGATCATGAGTGGAGGGAATATGATTACATCATAACTACTAACCCATCATAATCTCCCTGACCATAAACTATTGTGCTAAGATGATATGAAGTATCTTTCTTTCTCATAGTCTAAGTCTGCATATATGTATATTGCAGGTTTTCAGAGCAATGAATATTCCACAGATTAGAAATCCATCATTGCCACTACTGGAAGAGATGCCTGAAGCTTATCATGCCAAGATTGCTCTTCTTGGAGCAGGACCTGCCAGTATAAGCTGTGCTACCTTTTTGGCTCGATTGGGCTACACAGACATCACCATTTTTGAGAAGGAACATTATGTTGGTGGCTTAAGGTAAGTATTGTGACCTTAAAATTTGAAATAAAGCATTTTACCACCATGTCTTTTATTATAGCATGAAGAAAGTTAGAGTGAGTTATATCCATATAAAATACACTCAGATTCATATATTCTAGGAGTACATGGGGTTTATAAGTAAGATAAATATGGAAAAAAAAACCTGTGCTGTCCTTCACTGCTATGCTTTCAGCCCTTCATTGGCTAGAGTAAGTTATATCCATATAAAGTACACTCAGATTCATATATTCTAGGAGTATATGGGGTTTATAAGTAAGATAAATATGTAAAAAAACTGTGCTGTCTTTCACTGCTATGCTTTCAGCCCTTCATTGGCAACACTGAACAAGGGTGCTTACTTTTACATTAAGCAACTTAATGAATTATACCAGCCTTATTTGATACATGTTTGTTCCTTCCTATGCATAGATTTCTTGACAGTTTACAAAGCTCTAAACATTGATTAAAAGAACATTATAAGCATGAAACATACAAATAAAAGGCCAATAAATTATTAAGAAGATACATAGCTTTTTGGACAACTGTAAAGCAGTTACTGTAAAGTGCATGGTGTGAAAGCTGGACAGTAAAGAAAGCCACCAGAAAAGAATATATTTGTTTACAATGTGGTGCTGGAGGAGAGCTTTGTGGACACCTTAGACTGACAGAAAGACAAACAATTTAGTCTTAGATCAGATCAAGGCTGAACTATTTCTAGAGGCAATAATGTTGAAACTGAGGTTGTCCTACTTGGGCACATCAATGGAAGGCAAGATTCTTTGGAAAATACAGCAATACTGGGAAAGGTGGAAGGCATCAGGAAAAGAGGAAGACTAAACATGAGATGGACTGACTCCCTAAAAGAAGCCACAGACTTGAATTTACAGGAGCTGAGCAGGGCTGTTGAGGACAGAACGTTTTGGAGATCTCTCATTCATAGGTTCACCATAAGTCCAAAGCAACTTGATGGCACACAACAACAACAGCAACAAGAAAGTGGTTACCTTGCTGTTCTCACCATTGTTGCAGGTTGCCTCCATGTGGCATGCTTAAGACAGCAGATGGTAAAATGTTTCACTTACTATATATTTTATTGGTAGGAAGATGGCGTGCAAAGGAAGGAAAGTTGTGAAAAGGCCTCTGGTTTAGGAATGTGGAAGGAAGAAGAATTCAATAGAAGTATAAGTTACTTTGGAAGCAGGAATGAAATGAGGAAATGGAAGAAGCTGTATTTGTCTTTCTTCCAGATTATTTTGAGTTTATTGAGAAAGACTGCATAGGATATTCTATCTGCACTATGACAGAATATCACAGTGTCTCCAAGAATGTAGGATGTTTTGGTAGACTATTTGAGGTTCCTGATTCTCTATCCTGTTTTATATTGATTTTTTTTCTCTTCTCTCTCACACTGCATCATTTTTAATCCTTTTTTTTTGTGTGAAAACTGGCACACAATGAATGAGATACTTTTACCATGCTAGCTTATCAGTAACTATGTTCCCAAACAAGCTGATTATTTTGGAAAGCAGCAGGTTGCTTCAGAAACAATGGAACCAAACTGGTCTTTGCCCCTTTAAGCATTTTAAAATCTTGTTTTCCCTACACTTTCTCTAATCCTTTTTAACACCTTAAACTTACAAGATTGCAAATCTAGTCAGATTGTTCCACTTTATCTCTTTTCTGTTCACATGTGCTTGTTTCTAAGTATCCTCTCATGAAGTTTCTGCATTAATTTCTGATTTTTTAAAAAATCCACTGCTAAATTAATATTTAATGAACTTTGAACAAATTTCCCCACCCCTCCCATTTTGAAATATACTTTCTATCAAAATATGCATTTTAAGTGGATTTTATGAGAAAATATGTGCTTTATATGGATTTGATACTTCTGTTGAGCCAGAATGTGCATCATAAAATTTAGAGAAGTGCGAAATTTGAAATATAATGATGCTCTGATTTGCACCGTTTAGTCTAGGATGTGGGAATAACATCTGTTTATTTCAAAATAAGGACTGAACAAAATGTTGGACTGTTCTTTGATATGTGGTCACATCAACTACAGTTCATGAAAGTCTTTGTCAAAGAAAATGTTTTGGTATATAAGGTACAACAGGACTCTTCTATGCTTTTGCTACAGCAGACTACAAATGAGCACAGCGGCCCTCATTTTCAAAACGTGTCTAGCACTTTCTCTTTAGATTTTTAAGTTCACCATTTTTAAAATGTGTATTATTCGTATTATTCCAGAATGCCTTCTCTCTCTCTCTCTCTCTCTCTCTCTCTCTCTTGTAAAGCAGCTGGGAAATGTTTCATGAGTTGTATTTTATTTGTTCTCTCCAGCACATCTGAAATTCCCCAGTTCCGGCTGCCGTATGATGTAGTACACTTCGAAACTGAGCTTATGAAAGACCTAGGTGTGAAGGTAATGAAAAATATAAACTGCCTTGGTATAGCTCACAGGAAAAAAAGGAAGCCATAGCTCTGCCAAAGATTAACAGCAAAATGTCATGCACATTAGTAAAGAACAATTAAAAGCTACACGAGGCTGAGGGAGGAAGATGCTTTCTCTTGCTTAGGGCATTTGTCTGACTGCTGTCTGAATGCCACTAGTTTGAAAAAGGGCAATCAATAGTTCTCATCTGGCTTGCCTGCATGTGATTAATTGTCTGTAAGAAACAAATACCTAAATGGCTTTAGGGGTTCACTGTAGCTATTGGAAGGATTTTATTTCTTTAATCACATACCATTGTTGCTACTCCCCATCCTTTTATGCAAGTTAAATCTTAGTTAGAAACATTAATCTTTTCCCTACCTCAGTTTTCTGATAAAATACGCTTTTACATAGATAATTTCCACTTGTTTTGCATGTTAACCAAATGGAGTAGTAATAATTTCTTTTTCAAGAAAGGTGCCCTGGTTCCTTAAAGCTTCCTTTAAAACAGCACTACCTTTGTCTTGTGGTGTGTGGCTCTTAAAAACTGTATATTTTTAACCATCATACTAAGCTGCTGCTGTTTATGCTGACTTCAGCCCCAGAATAACACAATTGATTTAAATTGATTAAAGAACGATGCAATACTTCTCATGCTGTCTCTGTAATAAATGTGAAGGAAGGGTCTCTATCAGTTCCTTCCATCTCCACCACATAGAGTTCTTTCCTCTGTAAAATCGGAGTAATTGTGGTGCTCACAGATAGAGAAAAGAATAGTGTTTTGTGTGCTAGAACTTATGTTCACAATTCCTTTTTGAAGAATAAGTTCAGGTTTCTCAAAGTCACGGGACTAGGCCTAAGAATATTATTTCCTTGTTTTCCATGGTATATATAATTTACAACATCATACAGTAAAGCACAATGATTTATACCTTTTGCCTAGTGAATATAAAGTATCTGCATAAAGGACTGCAAGTGTGCATTTTTATATTGTTCCTTAATTACAAGTTATCAAGAAGGGAGGAAGTGTTTTATAGATATATCCAGCCCACATTTTGGCTCTAGAAACTTCTGGGTACCTCTTTAGCTTCCATATGAGCAAGGGGCTTTCATTTATGGGCAGCTGTATGTGAGCTGTGCAAGTGTGCATGGGGTGCTTTTTCTCTGTTTGGAAAGTGAGTAGCCATGCTGCAGGGAAGAGGTCCAGGTTGTGATCACAGTTCCATTGTGAAATACACATTATAAAGTATCCCTGCCAGCTTATTAAATTTTCTTCCATCCCTCCTGAGAAATAAAATAAAATGAGAATGAATGCAAACAAAATACAGTACAAAAGAGCCTTTCTAAATCAGACCAGATCTCATCTAACATCTTGCTATTCCCAGTAACCAATCAGATGCCTTTGAGAAGCCTACAGGTAGTACACAAGTATAATAGCCCCCTCCCATTCGTTCCCCACAACTCTTACTTAAATCTCTCAAATCCTGGAGGCAGTATGTAGCCATCATGAGTAGTCACTGTTGCTAGCTTTATCCCCCATTAATCTAACTTAATTCCTTTTTAAGGGCATTTCAGTTGGTGGCAATTATCCTACCTTATGTAGTCAAACTTCATGTGCCAACAAAGTAAAACATTTTGTCACACGTGTGGTTTTCTCTAAATTCCAGATCAGTGCTGAAATGCCCCTAGCCACTTTCACTCCTTTCTGCTGCACTCTAGGAAGTAGCATCAAAGGTTGTTGAAGAGAACTACAATAGTGATACCTCTCAGTGGCATAAATTACGTATATTCTAGGCACATGAGAGCAAAAGGACAGGACGTAGACCTGAGAACTGGGGCAAGGATGAAACACAGTGCTGTTATACCTCCTTGCTTTGATTATTACAGTTTCTTGGATCTTTTTTTAGACTTTTACAGTTGCTGTAAAGAAGTCTTTCTCTGCAGCTGCGAAGGATGGAGGTCTTTTTCAGAAAGCTGTTAGTGTCTGCCTTTGAAATGAAGTGGGAAGAGAATTGATGCAGTTTTTTGTTTTCTTCATACCTTCATTTAAAAGATTTACCTTTAACATAATAGGATTACATAAGAATGAGTCACTGAAGGGATGGAATGATGGGCAGCATCAAGGAGAGCAACAGGTGAGGAGAGGAGATCACTTGGAAGAGTGAATTATGAGCATTTGTAAGGAGTAGAGAGGCATAGAAGAACAGATTTGGTGGACAGAGTGCCTGAAGAACTATGGATGGAGGCTCATAACATTGTACAGGAGGCAGCAACAAAAACCATACCAAAGAAAAGGAAATGCAAGAAAGCCAAGTGGCTGTCCAACAAGGCCTTACAAATAGCAGAGAAGAGAAGGGAAACAAAATGCAAGGGAGATAGGGAAAGTTACAGAAAATTGAATGCTGTCTTCCAAAGAATAGCAAGGAGAGACAAGAGGGTCTTCTTAAATGAACAGTACAAAGATAGAGAGGAAAATAATAGAAAGGGAAAAAGCAGAGATCTGTTCAACAAAATTGGAGATATTAAAGGAACATTTTGTGCGAAGATGGATATGATAAAGGACAAAAATGATAGGGACCTTACAGAAGCAGAAGACATGAAGAAGAGGCGGCAAGAATACAAAGAGGAATTATACCAGAAAGATCTGGATGTCCCGGACAACCCAGATAGTATGGTTGCTGACCTTGAGCCAGATATCCTGGAGAGTGAGGTCAAGTGGGCCTTAGAAAGCACGGCTAACAACAAGGCCAGTGGAGGTGATGGCATTCCAGTTGAACTATTTAAAATCTTTAAAGATTATTCTGTTCTGGTGCTACACTCAATATGCCAGCAAGTTTGGAAAACTCAGCAGTGGCCAGAGGATTGGAAAAGATCACTCTACATCCCAATCCCAAAGAAGGGCAGTGCCAAAGAATGCTCCAAGCTACCGGACAATTGCACTCATTTCCCACGCTAGCAAGGTTATGCTCAAAATCCTCCAAGGTAGGCTTCAGCAGTATGTGGACCGAGAACTCCCAGAAGTACAAGCTGGATTTCGAAGGGGCAGAGGAACT